TTTTTACATAAAAGTTTAATTATTTGATAATATAAAAGTTTAAATTTCTGACTTTAACTCTAAATTTAAAATTTTAAATTAGTGAATATCAATTTGGTTAAACTCTTGTTGATGAAGCATATGTATTGATGCATTAACATTAGAGAAGCATTATTTTTGGCATTTGAGAATGAAAGATTTGAATTTTGGGACAGTTGCTATGTATTTCAACAGATTTTATAGTTTCTGACATGGCCAAAGAAAGAAAATTTTAAAAATGTTTTAAACAGAAACTAAAACATACTATAATGCAAATATAATTTTTATTCAAAAATCCATACACAGAGACACATTTTCTTAGTTATGAAAAGACCAAGACACAACAGACTTTGAGGAAGCATCTGCCTCAATGACACACAAAGACACAAACTTTGTTGACATGAAGCCAGACAAACAACACGACCATTGCAGTTAGCTGGAGATTTCAATAGACTTAACCTCTGGCTTCTTAACCTCCTCCTTGGGGACAGTCACGATGAGCACACCATTCTCCATGCTAGCCTTCACCCGATCCATTTTGGCATTCTCCGTTACCCTAAACCTCCTCGGGAACTTGCCGCTGCTTCTCTCAACACGGTGCCACTTCTCATTCTTCTCCTCCTGTTCTTTGCGCGTCTCTCCACTGATCTGGAGAATCCTTCCTTCTTCAACCTCCACTTTTACCTCCTCCTTTTTCAGCCCTGGAAGGTCTGCCTTAAAGATGTGAGCCTTAGGCGTTTCCTTCCGTCAATTCTCGCATTGGGAAATGCAGAGGTTTCACGGACTGAAGAGGGCACATTGGCTACAGTAGAGGTGAAAAAGCCATCAAATGGTTCCCAAGCGTCTAGAGAAAATGGGTTGAAGACATTGGTTCGTCGACCACCAAAGATGCTTGGAATCAGAGACATCGTTGGCAAATTGGAATGCTTTTCTAAAATCAACAAAAGATTGATTAAGAATTGTTTTGGATGGTAATGAAATGCTATTTATAGAAAAGGAAGAGCCTTCTAGGGCCGAGACTGTGAGAGTTATTAAGAAAATGTTTTCTGATGGATAGTTTTTAAGAAATAATTAACAGCTACTTTCTTTAATTGGATGAATAAAGATATTTAAATTATAAATAATAATAATAAT